ATTCCATGCTTACAATCCCACCAGCCTCGGCTCTTCAGGGGGATAATTATGCAGCTCCCATTATTGCACCGCGAGGCTGTCAAGCCCGGGAGCTGCATTTTATAAACGGAGATCAGAAATAGAGAGACACAAAGGCCCCGGTTCTAAAAAGCTGTTTAGATGCCCAATTGCAACATTTTTTTTTAAATCAAGCTGAGAGATTTTTAGATTATTAAGTGTTAAAAAGAAAACAAAGGAGTTTAAAGTCCTTGCACCCTAAACAAACTCCTCCTGGAGAGATTTCTTTTCTACCGTTTATAGCTCGTTAGATGAGAGAAGGGGTAGGGCCCAGGACTGACAAATTTGTGCTGGATACATCCAATCCATCACAGCTGTGACAGTAGAACTTACCAGAGATGAAGCCTGTCAACCTGGATAGGAGAGGAGAGGTATGGAAGAAAGAAGAGTCAGATAAAAGGAGTTACATAGAAGGAGGGTAAAAAAAATAAAAAACAATAGAAAAAAAGAGATGAATGTCCAGAGAGAGTTCCTAGAGAAGCCCATCATTTACAGCCGTGTCAGCCAAAGGACTTCCCGTGGCAGTACTTAAAAGAAAAGCCACCCAAAGTCATCCATCACAGACCAAATCCTCAGGAGAACAGCATGGGCAGTAAAACATGTGCTTGGGAAACGTGAAATGGCAACTCTGTAAAGCTAGTTTTTGGGTTGATTGGTTTGCTTTTTGAAAGAAGAAAAAAAAAAAAACAAAAAAAGACCTTTTTCTACCTGTCAGTGGTTTCTGCCCAAAAGACTCCAGTGTAAGCCCGGGGGATTACAGTGTCACTGAGACACCAGTGCTCACAAGCCCAAATTCAATTCAGCATCCTCCAAAAACAGATTTCCTGAGTCTTCATACTCGTGTGGACACGTGGAAACACAAACTGAAGTGAAAACCATATTTGTGACCAAGTCCTGCAGCGTTAACACGGCTTTTAGAGACTCACCCTAATGGAAGCACCAGACACTAACGACCACAGCGCCTGGGAACCACAGAACCCTGCTTCACCACTGAATATTCCACATTTCAACCAGAAAACCAACAAAACGGAATTTTTCAAGGTGCTAATTTTAAATACTGGAAAAGTTAAATAACTACCTACTGCTATAGATACAGTATTCACGACTTTGAGCTTTGTTTCTGATATTATTATTATTTTTTTCCTGCCCACCGAATTAGCATTTTTGGACTCTATTCCCCCAAATGACAGGATAAAAGATACCATTGATATTGCCAAAAAAGCCTGCAGCTTTTTGGGAAGGCCAGATTGAGTATAAATGAAAAAGAGCTCTTGGACTGCCATTCCGTTCGAGAGCTCTAGACACAGAGCACATAAATATGGTTTTAAAGCAGTTTATGAGAAACATTAAAGAAGCAGGAGCAGCCCAGGTGGAATGGGAGGCTGAGACAAGCAGCGCTGACTGCACTCATGTACTGGGCAAACTCCAGTAACGGGAATAAATCAGCTCAAACGGCACCAAAATTCAAGCCTATCTTCATCTTCGTTTTTAGAAACAGCTGAGAAAAACATGTAGGGACATCACCTCTCCCTACGGAACCCTATTCCTCTGTCACCCACCACCCCCAGGGCTGACACCGCGTGTGCGACGCTGCTCTCAGGGAGCTGTTTCTATCTGCTGTTACCGAAAGCTTCCCCCAGAAAAAGTCCTGGAGGGTCCAAACCCCAGTGGGACACATCAATGTTGTCACTGGCATGCTGGGGGGCATCAAGAAAAGCATGGCCAGCAGGTCCAGAGAGGTCATCCTGCCCCTCTGCTCTGCCCTGGGGAGGCCCCATCTGGAGCACTGGGACCAGTTCTGGGCTCCCCAGTTCCAGAAGGACAGGGAACTGCTGGAGAGGGGACAGCAGAGGCTACAGAGATGATGAGGGGCCTGGAGCATCTCCCTTATGAGGAGAGGCTGAGGGACTTGGGGCTTTTCAGTCTGGAGAAGAGAAGGCTGAGGGGGGATCTGATCAACACCTATAAATACTTCAAGGGTGGGTGTCAGGAGGATGGGGCCAGGCTTTTTTCAGTGGTGCCCAGGGACAGGACAAGAGGAAATGGGCACAAACTGAAACATAGAAAATTCCACCTCAACATGAGGAGGAACTTCTTTCCTGGGAGGGTGGCAGAGCCCTGGCAGAGGCTGTCCAGGGAGGTGGTGGAGTCTCCTTCTCTGGAGACATTCAACCCCACCTGGACACGTTCCTGTGGGACCTGCTCTGGGTGACCCTGCTCTGGCCGGGGGTTGGACTGGATGGTCTCCAGAGCTCCCTTCCAACCCCATGAGATTCTGTGTAACTCACTCATTTCACATACACCAGCCAGCCTTCGGTGATGAATTTTGGTACCTACTGACTCAGGATGGATAAGGTGTGATTTCAACTCTTCATCTCCCACAGTGAGTTGCAGGAATTTTTCAAACCACCACCGTACACAGAATTCTTTTGACTATTCTATTTTCACAAATACCAGGTGGCCTAGAATTTTTCCAATAAACAAGCAAATGAAGTTTTTCCACGAATGCTTGTCGAACACCCCCACCAACAGCTCCCTGCCATCCCTCCTTGATCACAGCCCTCCACTGCGACACCCCCGGCAATTTCTGTCTGTGTTCTCGATACACCTCCCTGCGGTGCCTCAGGGTCCCCTCCTGTCTGGCTCAGCAAGAGACAACATGACTGCTCCGTAGATGGAGAACTGCATTAACAACAGCCAGCAGCAACCAGAACCTTTGTCCTTCCCCAGCTACTCATTTTCATAGAATCACAGATTGGTTTGGGTTGGAAGGGACCTTAAAGCCACCCCCAGTGCCACCCCCTGCCCTGGGCAGGGACACCTCCCACCAGCCCAGGCTGCTCCAAGCCCCCTCCAACCTGCCCTTGAACCCCTCCAGGGATGGGGAGATCTTTTCACCTCTTTAACTCCACCAGCTCCTTGGCTTTCATCCCTTTCCAGCTCTGCCCTTTACCTATCCTCCCATCAGCAATGACTTCCAAGCAGGCCCACCCACTGCCCAGCTCTCCACAGGAGCTGGAGGAAGACTTTTTTTCCCCTTCACCATCATATTTTGCAGCTCCAGGTCCCTGGGTGACTGCCTTTGCCAGCGTGAGCCCAGCAGTGTGTCTTTGCTGTGCTCAAGTGAAGGAGCAGCAGGAGCTCTAGAGCCCAGCTCTGTGTTGGGTCATGGAATCATGGGATGGTTTGGGTGGGAAGGGACCTTAAGGACCATCCAGTGCCACCCCCTGCCCTGGGCAGGGACACCTCCCACCACACCAGGTTGCTCCAAGCCCCCTCCAACCTGCCCTTCAACCCCTCCAGGGATGGGGCAGCCACAGCTTCTCTGGCCAACCTGGGCCAGGCTCTCACCACCCTCACACCAAACAAGTTCTTCCCCACAGCTCAGCTCCATCTCCCCTCTTGCAGGGTCAAACCCTTCCCCCTCCTCCTAGGGCTCCCCTCCCTCATCCAGAGTCCCTCCCCATCTCTCCTGGAGCCCCTTGAGGGACTGGAAGGGGCTCCAAGGTCTCCCCGGAGCCTTCTCTTCTCCAGGCTGAACCCCCCCATCTCTGGGGCCTCCTCTGGCCCCGCTCCAACAGCTCCATGTCCTTCTGCTGGTGGTGGCCCCAGAGCTGGAGGCAGCACTGGGGGGGTCTCCCCAGAGAGGAGCAGAGGGGCAGAATCCTCTCCCTCAACTTTTTCATAACACATGGAGCAAACTTTTGGGGTTCTTCCAATCTCTACACCCAAATTTGATTAGGGTTAGCCAGCAAATTTTGGGGGGGACTGACAGATCAGGTAAATCCTGACTTCTTGGAAAGTCAGAGTAAAGTCTGTCCCCCAGAACTAGATCTCCTCAATATAAATGAAGAGCGTTCTCACCTCTTTGTTTTGGAAAACAGGGAGCAATATACTATTTCCTGTAACACTCCCAGTGAGGATCGCTCTGTGTACGCCCTGGGTGACCCTGCCCTGACCAATGCAACACCCACAGAGACTCATGTGGCTGCCTCTCCAAGCAGAAATTCAAACAACGCTCTGCTCTTCACAGGGTCTTCTTATTAGAACAAGGATCATTGCTCTACAAAGTTTTTCCTGGCCTTAGCACATCTGTGGGCATGTTATCCCTCCAGATTTTGGGACACTAGCATTTCCTTTGCTTCCACAGCTCCCGAGAAGACAGTGAGAACACACTGCCCTTTATTGCTCAGTTACTGTAAATGTTAACACAAACCACTGCTCTGAGCTCACTGCTCATCTCTTGGGGACCGCACTGCCCTTCGCCAACACTCCCAAAATGCCAGGAGTCCAGCAAGGTCACCAGCAGCAGTAACACCCAAATATTTGGTAGCAATCCCTGCTCGCAGGAGGGCTCACACTGCTCTCCTCATCCTGCTGCTCCACGGCGCGTTCAAACAGCCCTTTCCCCAGTTCATCCCTTACCCACCCTTGCGCACACGAAGCAGTGCTTGCCTCAGCAATGCCTTCTACTATAAAAGTTAATTATTTAGTAAAACAAAAGGTTTCACTTCTCCCTCTGACACAGGAAAGAGGAAATACGGAAATCACCCAGGTCTGCCTGGATTTTCACAGAAGTCTCTTGGCATTGAAAGGCAGAAAGAGAGAATCTCTCCACTGCGAAACTGCATCCTCTGGGCCCTCGGCCAGAAGAGTTTTGTTAAAGATGATTATTTATTTGATATAATAATTACAACCTAAGAGAGACTGGCTTTCCTACAAGCGAAGATACACTGGTCACAGAAGAAACACAAATCCACCTTCTTTGGATGGCAGCAAACTCTCCTACGAGACCTTCACAGTGTCACAGCCAAAGGTCACCCACCCCTGCTCAGCTTGGCTTTCTGGCTGATGGCAGGGACAGGGAGGTGGCAGCCTCCCCACGGAGAAGCTACACCCTACTGATTAGATGTTGGAGTCAATTTTGAAACAGCAACACTTACCTTTGATGCCAGGTTGTCCACTAGTGCAATCATGGAGTTCTTAAAAAGAGTAGCAGCTGTCAGAGGTCGCTTGGTTACCTCGGTGATGCTCAGTTTCCCTTCAGGCCACATCATCTTCAGCACAGGGTTAGAGCTAAAAGACAGGCTCTTTAATTACACAGCCTAATAGCACTTCAGCTCAATTCAAAATTCAACAGCTCGCTTCTGTCCAGATCTACTGGTGTTTTCAGCTCAAAATATATCAGCCAAACCAGTGTGACATTCCCGGGCAAAACAGCTCTCGCTCTTGAGCAACACATGGCTCAAGCTTCCAACCCAATGTTCTGGAAAAATGACAAGCACATTCTCCTCTTCAGATACAGACGTGCAGTAATGGGATAGTAAAAATCCCACAGAAGTGATCTATCAAAAGCCAAGTCTGCCTTACTGGCACAAACATAAAGAATTTAATCAAAAGAGAAAAGAGTAAGACCATAGCCCACAGCATCCTCCCTTGAAACTTGCTATCTGCTTTCAAGCTGTATTTCTGCACTGTTCCTCATACATCAAATAATTTATACATTTTAGCCTACATTTTCTTGAAGGGTTGAAGGTGAGGTAAAATAGCCATGATGAAATAGAGGAAAGCTGGAAGCAGTTAGGGCAATCCAATAGCCAATCCATCACGTGCTTTAATATGCCGTAAGTGGTCTTTGTGAGCAGTCTTTTCCAGGGACTTAACGGAAAACAGAGCCTAAATTTAATAAAACCTCTGTACAGCAAATATTTTGCAGGTTTTTGGTTAGTGTGAAGTCTTGAAAACATGAACAGCAAGGGAGTACACTGAGTAAATGTATCAAGACTGTAAACTCAGTTAATGGCTGTACTAGCTGTTACACCAGACAAACAGAGCTGCCCCAGCAGCTCCAGCCTGGTTTTTGCTGACTTCCACCCCTGAGCAAAGTCTCTGAAAAACTGAGATAGGCCACAGTTACCAAAGAATTAGAACACATTTAATGCCAGCCAAAAGGAAAACACCTTTTGGAGCACTTATTTTGATAGGATTTTAAATATTTAACTTGTACTTGCCTAATTAGTATTTATAACACGTGACTACAGGGTTTACATTTTTCATGTCGCTGCACGTGCAAAAAGGATTCAGATCTATTTGCCCATTTTTCCCCTCACCCCTAAACTTTCTTTCCAAACAAGCACCTGTAGCTGGGGCCAACGATCTCTGTTGTTGACCAAAGGCTACTCGGTGTCTTCGGCACCAATTAAAGAGAGATAAGCAATTGCAACCGGTCCAAACCCCTGGTTAATGACAAATCAGGCAGCACAGGTGATGTCTGCACAGCTATGGCGATTGCTCAACGAGCTGGGTTCAAAAACCACTTTACATTCAGTTAAATTAAGGGCTTTATCAGAACAAAGCCAACATACACAGAATAAGGACTTTATCCTGAAAAATCAAACTAAGAGCCCTCGGGTCACGGTAGATATGCAAAGATCAGATCCCAGAGCAATGTGTTTGTTCACGTGCACTGAGCACTCTGCAAAGAGCATCAGCCAAACCATCAGTCCCTCCTGCCACCCGCTCTGGAGACCAGGATTCTGCCAAATGAGATTTCAATTCACCTCATTAAGACTTTTATTCCTACCTGTTGTACATGAGGCGCTTGAAGTCTTGAAATAAAGTGTCCTTGTTTTTGTCAATAAATCCACTGACTGAGTAGCTGAAAAAGAAAACAAAAATAGAGTTAATTGCAAAGAAGCAAAGTCCTTCTGCGAGCCGCTGGTGTCGGTGTGGAATCAGCATCCCTGTGCTCCCACAGACACAGCAGATGCTGATCAGGAATCCAGCTCTGCTTCCCAACCTATCACTAATTTGCTGCATGGGCACTGTGTGAGACTCCAATCCTCCTGCCCAGCTGTCCCCTCCAGGGCAGGCCCAGTGTCTGTCTGGTTTTATGAAGCCATTTGAGCCACACAGGTGAAGAGCACCATGGCCCGGACACCCAGCAGGGCTTGAGCAAGTCGTAGATGGCCCAAATTCTAGAGTTAACTCATGGCCTCTGCCTCCTAGAGCCTAGAGTGTTAAATCCTATAGAAAATGTGTTTTCTTTTTCAAAATGTCTAGTCTGTCTCTCTCTTGGTGTCAAGGAAGATTCTCTAGTGGGAGAAAAAAATGAAGAGCAGCCTATAACCAGTGACTGGGGAAGTCTTGGAAATCAACACACACCCTCTTTGGACTCTCTCCTTCCTCTATCCCCGCAGAACGACCACGATTATGGTTTCAGAGTCTTATCTCTTCTCCAAGACTCCAGACAGCCAGCGCTCCCTGCTCAAAAAGGTCCAAAACCTCCCCGTTCAGTGACTCCCACTCAGTTGCTTCCTGAGGTTCAGACCCCCTGGGAAGCCTGTTCCCAAACTGCAGGCACTGGGGTCCAGAGCCCCACAACATTCAAAGCCCTGCATGAAGCCACCTCCAGTCTTTCTGCTCCATGTAACACAGTTCAGGCTCAAATATTATCTGCAGATATTTCCACATTTCAGTTTTCTTTTACAAAATTTTTCAGCCACTGGCAGTGCCGAAAGTTCACCCACTAACGTGGCACTGTGTGTTTTCTCCTCCTTGGCAGAACACTTTGAAATCAGGGATGTTTAAGGAATCACTCAGCAAAGACTCCAGGACAAAATCGAGCTGTGCTGAATGGCCTTCTAAATTAAAGGTAAATTTAATCCCAAGGTAAAAGAATCCTAAATTATTTCCTTATTAACTCCCTTTAGATTCTGCTGGTCCGAGGAGCCACACCTATCCTAATCCATTAAATCACTCCAGTGATATTCCAGGCAGTTTTTAACACATGGGCACCTTTCACTCCTCCTCCATCCTCCCTCCCCTGACTGTCCCATGCTGTAGCCGTTTCTCCTGCTTTGGGGAGGAGCAGAGCCAACCCTCTGTTCAGGAACCCTTTTTATTGCTCTTCTTCCTCTCCTTGGAGCGAGAGGTGGGGGAGAGCATCTGTCATCCCATCATTGGCCAACCCAGGACACCGTTCCCAAAGGCTTCAGACACAGGACACTTTCCAACCCGAGCAGGGAAGGCTCCTCACACTGATCCTCATTTCAGTTTAACGCTGGATTTTGAGTCTGCTCAAACCCATTTGAGAATTTCCAGCCAGAGAGTTATATAATCTCACTAAAACAGATGTCAAAACCAGATTTTATTAGCTCGGTAAAGCTTTTTGCATAAACAGAGCTGGCTGGGGTTTTTTTCCCCCCCCTCTCTTTTTTCCTGAAGTGCTGCTCTCCCCTCACCTTCCCTCCCCACACTCTCCTTTTGTTTCAGTTCCAAGTACAAAATCATATTCTGTGTAGCGAGTAACCAGCGTAAGATTTAATTAATAAGCAACCGCTGCACTCTGTAATTCCGTGTGACAGCTATTCTGCTTCAGACCAGAAGCAGCATTAAATCAGGATATCGTACCACTTCAAAGCTGGCTAAAAGACAAAAATAGAAGGTGAAACTTTACTTCTGGAAGAAACTCACATCACATCTCCGGCGTAGTGCTTGATCCGAAAGTCTCTGTCAAACTCCAGCGTTTTGTCGGTTGCACAAAGCTGAAATGAATTCACAGACATTAAATCATCACCCGTGGATTTTCAGGTTTCATGGAAGAGCAACACACATTGGAAATAGAAATGGAAACTGTAGTTATTCCGCTTTATAGATGCACGTGTAGATGTGACACCCAGTTATAACACTGCTTCATAATATTTTTTCACGGGTGCATTATAAAACCCTGTATTTGGACAAAATCAAGTTGCAAGAGCCTACAGTTTTATTAAAAAATTGATACTATCTCAGAAACACCATTAAGCAAAAAGAACATTCATGCATATAGAGAAGCATCGCATCTAGGAGTTAATTTATAACTTTTTTTAAGTCGTCTTTATCTTTTTTTCCATTGTGGCATCATCCTCAACAAAGACATGAAGAAATCAAAATGTGGCAGCTCCAATAGCTTGTCCTGGCCCAAATCACTCCAGATGAAGGAAGATCCCCCACGTGGTGCCCACCCCTGCAGACACGGGGGGGTCACAGCCCCAGCCCCTGCTCTCAGCCCATCACATCCCTCCCCTGAAGGAAGATGCCACGTGCCCACACAGCAGCCGTTTGGTACCAGTGGCCTGAACACACTCATCCCTTCAGGAATAACAGAAGCCAAAAAAATCCACCAGGCCCAGCTTAATTAAAAAAGAAGAAAGAGATAAAAATGAGGATTAGAGCCAAAAGGGGCAGGTAAATGAATGAAGATTTTGCAGGAAGCGTGGGCGCTATTTAAAAACGTCGAGGACTACGAGCAAATATCTACTATCCAGCAAAAGTCTTGGAAAATCAAAGAGAAAATTAGCACAGCTAAACTGCAGGGCAGGAGAGATTCTTAGAAGCAAGAAGGTATCCCCCAAAAAACTTCACTCGTGTCCAAGAGTAGAAAAGAGATTGGCTCAAACTGACAAACAGGTGGAAAAAACTAAACTAAAATATATATAAAAAAAAAATAACAAGGAGGAAACCAAAAAGTTTGAGTAAAAAGGTTCAGTGCAGGCTACAAAGGAGGGAGATGCCAGGAAATCACCCAGGTCTGCCTGGATTTTCACAGAAGTCTCTTGGCATTGAAAGGCAGAAAGAGAGAATCTCTCCACTGCGAAACTGCATCCTCTGGGCCCTCGGCCAGAAGAGTTTTGTTAAAGATGATTATTTATTTGATATAATAATTACAACCTAAGAGAGACTGGCTTTCCTACAAGCGAAGATACACTGGTCACAGAAGAAACACAAACCCACCTTCTTTGGATGGCAGCAAACTCTCCTACGAGACCTTCACAGTGTCACAGCCAAAGGTCACCCACCCCTGCTCAGCTTGGCTTTCTGGCTGATGGCAGGGACAGGGAGGTGGCAGCCTCCCCACGGAGAAGCTACACCCTACTGATTAGATGTTGGAGTCAATTTTGAAACAGCAACACTTACCTTTGATGCCAGGTTGTCCACTAGTGCAATCATGGAGTTCTTAAAAAGAGTAGCAGCTGTCAGAGGTCGCTTGGTTACCTCGGTGATGCTCAGTTTCCCTTCAGGCCACATCATCTTCAGCACAGGGTTAGAGCTAAAAGACAGGCTCTTTAATTACACAGCCTAATAGCACTTCAGCTCAATTCAAAATTCAACAGCTCGCTTCTGTCCAGATCCACTGGTGTTTTCAGCTCAAAATATATCAGCCAAACCAGTGTGACATTCCCGGGCAAAACAGCTCTCGCTCTTGAGCAACACATGGCTCAAGCTTCCAACCCAATGTTCTGGAAAAATGACAAGCACATTCTCCTCTTCAGATACAGACGTGCAGTAATGGGATAGTAAAAATCCCACAGAAGTGATCTATCAAAAGCCAAGTCTGCCTTACTGGCACAAACATAAAGAATTTAATCAAAAGAGAAAAGAGTAAGACCATAGCCCACAGCATCCTCCCTTGAAACTTGCTATCTGCTTTCAAGCTGTATTTCTGCACTGTTCCTCATACATCAAATAATTTATACATTTTAGCCTACATTTTCTTGAAGGGTTGAAGGTGAGGTAAAATAGCCATGATGAAATAGAGGAAAGCTGGAAGCAGTTAGGGCAATCCAATAGCCAATCCATCACGTGCTTTAATATGCCGTAAGTGGTCTTTGTGAGCAGTCTTTTCCAGAGACTTAACGGAAAACAGAGCCTAAATTTAATAAAACCTCTGTACAGCAAATATTTTGCAGGTTTTTGGTTAGTGTGAAGTCTTGAAAACATGAACAGCAAGGGAGTACACTGAGTAAATGTATCAGGACTGTAAACTCAGTTAATGGCTGTACTAGCTGTTACACCAGACAAACAGAGCTGCCCCAGCAGCTCCAGCCTGGTTTTTGCTGACTTCCACCCCTGAGCAAAGTCTCTGAAAAACTGAGATAGGCCACAGTTACCAAAGAATTAGAACACATTTAATGCCAGCCAAAAGGAAAACACCTTTTGGAGCACTTATTTTGATAGGATTTTAAATATTTAACTTGTACTTGCCTAATTAGTATTTATAACACGTGACTACAGGGTTTACATTTTTCATGTCGCTGCACGTGCAAAAAGGATTCAGATCTATTTGCCCATTTTTCCCCTCACCCCTAAACTTTCTTTCCAAACAAGCACCTGTAGCTGGGGCCAACGATCTCTGTTGTTGACCAAAGGCTACTCGGTGTCTTCGGCACCAATTAAAGAGAGATAAGCAATTGCAACCGGTCCAAACCCCTGGTTAATGACAAATCAGGCAGCACAGGTGATGTCTGCACAGCTATGGCGATTGCTCAACGAGCTGGGTTCAAAAACCACTTTACATTCAGTTAAATTAAGGGCTTTATCAGAACAAAGCCAACATACACAGAATAAGGACTTTATCCTGAAAAATCAAACTAAGAGCCCTCGGGTCACGGTAGATATGCAAAGATCAGATCCCAGAGCAATGTGTTTGTTCACGTGCACTGAGCACTCTGCAAAGAGCATCAGCCAAACCATCAGTCCCTCCTGCCACCCGCTCTGGAGACCAGGATTCTGACAAATGAGATTTCAATTCACCTCATTAAGACTTTTATTCCTACCTGTTGTACATGAGGCGCTTGAAGTCTTGAAATAAAGTGTCCTTGTTTTTGTCAATAAATCCACTGACTGAGTAGCTGAAAAAGAAAACAAAAATAGAGTTAATTGCAAAGAAGCAAAGTCCTTCTGCGAGCCGCTGGTGTCGGTGTGGAATCAGCATCCCTGTGCTACCACAGACACAGCAGATGCTGATCAGGAATCCAGCTCTGCTTCCCAACCTATCACTAATTTGCTGCATGGGCACTGTGTGAGACTCCAATCCTCCTGCCCAGCTGTCCCCTCCAGGGCAGGCCCAGTGTCTGTCTGGTTTTACGAAGCCATTTCAGCCACACAGGTGAAGAGCACCATGGCCCGGACACCCAGCAGGGCTTGAGCAAGTCGTAGATGGCCCAAATTCTAGAGTTAACTCATGGCCTCTGCCTCCTCATTCAGAGCCTGGAGTGTTAAATCCTACAGAAATTATGTTTTCTTTTTCCAAATGTCTAGTCTGTCTCTCTCTTGGTGTCAAGGAAGATTCTCTAGTGGGAGAAAAAAATGAAGAGCAGCCTATAACCAGTGACTGGGGAACTCTTGGAAATCAACACACACCCCTTTTGGACTCTCTCCTTCCTCTATCCCTGCAGAACAACCACCCTGAAAGATTATGGTTTCAGAGTCTCATCTCTTCTCCAAGACTCAAGACAGCCAACGCTCCCTCCTCAAAGAAAAGGTCCAAAACCTCCCAATTCAGTGATTCCCACTCAGTTGCTTCCTGAGGTTCAGACGCCCTGGGAAGCCTGTTCCCAAACTGCAGGGACTGGGGTCCAGAGCCCCACAACATTCAAAGCCCTGCATGAAGCCACCTCCAGTCTTTCTGCTCCATGTAACGCAGTTCAGGCTCAAATATTATCTGCAGATATTTCTGCATTTCAGTTTTCTTTTACAAAATTTTTCAGCTCCATGTAACGCAGTTCAGGCTCAAATATTATCTGCAGATATTTCTGCATTTCAGTTTTCTTTTACAAAACCTTTCAGCCCCTGGCAGTGCCGAAAGTTCACCCACTAACGTGGCACCGTGTGTTTTCTCCTCCTTGGCAGAACACTTTGAAATCAGGGATGTTTAAGGAATCACTCAGCAAAGACTCCAGAACAAAATCGAGCTGTGCTGAATGGCCTTCTAAATTAAAGGTAAATTTAATCCCAAGGTAAAAGAAATCCTAAATTATTTCCTCATTAACTCCCTTTAGATTCTGCTGGTCCGAGGAGCCACACCTATCCTAATCCATTAAATCACTCCAGTGATATTCCAGGCAGTTTCTAACACATGGGCACCTTTCACTCCTCCTCCATCCTCCCTCCCCTGACTGTCCCATGCTGTAGCCGTTTCTCCTGCTTTGGGGAGGAAACAAAAGGGTTTCCTGTTCAGGAACCCTTTTTATTGCTCTTCTTCCACTCCTTGGAGCAAGAGGTGGGGAAAAGCATCTGTCATCTCATCATTGGCCAACCCAGCCCAAACCAGGACAACGTTCCTGAGTTTTATTGCTCTTCTTCCTCTCCTTGGAGCGAGAGGTGGGGGAGAGCATCTGTCATCCCATCATTGGCCAACCCAGGACACCGTTCCCAAAGGCTTCAGACACAGGACACTTTCCAACCCGAGCAGGGAAGGCTCCTCACACTGATCCTCATTTCAGTTTAACGCTGGATTTTGAGTCTGCTCAAACCCATTTGAGAATTTCCAGCCAGAGAGTTATATAATCTCACTAAAACAGATGTCAAAACCAGATTTTATTAGCTCGGTAAAGCTTTTTGCATAAACAGAGCTGGCTGGGGTTTTTTTTCCCCCCCTCTCTTTTTTCCTGAAGTGCTGCTCTCCCCTCACCTTCCCTCCCCACACTCTCCTTTTGTTTCAGTTCCAAGTACAAAATCATATTCTGTGTAGCGAGTAACCAGCGTAAGATTTAATTAATAAGCAACCGCTGCACTCTGTAATTCCGTGTGACAGCTATTCTGCTTCAGACCAGAAGCAGCATTAAATCAGGATATCGTACCACTTCAAAGCTGGCTAAAAGACAAAAATAGAAGGTGAAACTTTACTTCTGGAAGAAACTCACATCACATCTCCGGCGTAGTGCTTGATCCGAAAGTCTCTGTCAAACTCCAGCGTTTTGTCGGTTGCACAAAGCTAAAATGAATTCACAGACATTAAATCATCACCCGTGGATTTTCAGGTTTCATGGAAGAGCAACACACATTGGAAATAGAAATGGAAACTGTAGTTATTCCGCTTTATAGATGCACGTGTAGATGTGACACCCAGTTATAACACTGCTTCATAATATTTTTTCACGGGTGCATTATAAAACCCTGTATTTGGACAAAATCAAGTTGCAAGAGCCTACAGTTTTATTAAAAAATTGATACTATCTCAGAAACACCATTAAGCAAAAAGAACATTCATGCATATAGAGAAGCATCGCATCTAGGAGTTAATTTATAACTTTTTTTAAGTCGTCTTTATCTTTTTTTCCATTGTGGTATCATCCTCAACAAAGACATGAAGAAATCAAAATGTGGCAGCTCCAATAGCTTGTCCTGGCCCAAATCACTCCAGATGAAGGAAGATCCCCCACGTGGTGCCCACCCCTGCAGACACGGGGGGGTCACAGCCCCAGCCCCTGCTCTCAGCCCATCACATCCCTCCCCTGAAGGAAGATGCCACGTGCCCACACAGCAGCCGTTTGGTACCAGTGGCCTGAACACACTCATCCCTTCAGGAATAACAGAAGCCAAAAAAATCCACCAGGCTCAGCTTAATTAAAAAAGGAGAAAGAGATAAAAATGAGGATTAAAGCCAAAAGGGGCAGGTAAATGAATGAAGACTTTGCAGGAAGCGTGGGCGCTATTTAAAAACGTCGAGGGCTACGAGCAAATATCTACTATCCAGCAAAAGTCTTGGAAAATCAAAGAGAAAATTAGCACAGCTAAACTGCAGGGCAGGAGAGATTCTTAGAAGCAAGAAGGTATCCCCCAAAAAACTTCACTCGTGTCCAAGAGTAGAAAAGAGATTGGCTCAAACTGACAAACAGGTGGAAAAAACTAAACTAAAATATATATAAAAAAAAAATAACAAGGAGGAAACCAAAAAGTTTGAGTAAAAAGGTTCAGGGCTGGTTACAAAGGTGTGAGATGCCAGCAGAGCAGGAGCAGGAGGCACACCAGGGTCTGCAGAGCTGACAGATGACCAAGGTGTCAAAGGAACTCACAGAAAATGAAGAAACGAGGCCGTACCAGGAAAACAAAGTCATTTTTCTTTTTGGCGCTGTGCTCACCAGCAAGGAGCTATGGAGGATGCAGTGCCTTTTTTCAACCACCCACGAGATACATCTCAAACCAAGGTGTCCATAGAAGAGGTACATGACAAGGAAACCATCGAAACCAAAAAGTTTGAGTAAAAAGGTTCAGGGCTGGTTACAAAGGTGTGAGATGCCAGCAGAGCAGGAGCAGGAGGCACACCAGGGTCTGCAGAGCTGACAGATGACCAAGGTGTCAAAGGAACTCACAGAAAATGAAGAAACGAGGCCGTACCAGGAAAACAAAGTCATTTTTCTTTTTGGCGCTGTGCTCACCAGCAAGGAGCTATGGAGGATGCAGTGCCTTTTTTCAACCACCCACGAGATACATCTCAAACCAAGGTGTCCATAGAAGAGGTACATGACAAGGAAACCATCATGAAATGAAGCAAGTGTTGGTGCCAGACAGGACACCATTGGCTGCACAAGCTGTTGCTTAGAACTCACCCAGTGCTGGAGAGACTGAGAGGCATTTAACATAACACTAGGGGTTTTGAGGAATGTTTTTCTGCATGAACCTTTTGTCTACTGGATAAATCAGTTTAAATTAGCAAAAAAGAACAGCACGTGTATTGATATAGCTGGTCATCTGCTTGGATTTCTGTGAGCCTTTTTACAAGGCTCCTCACTAACAACTCAATTTTAGCTGATAAATCAGTTTAAATTAGCAAAAAAGAACATCACGTGTATTGATACAGCTGATCGTCTGCTTGGATTTCTGTGAGCCTTTTCACAAGGTTCCTCACTAACAACTCAAAGAATTTAAGCTACTAAGAGACACAAGGGAAATGGTCCTCACACATAATGGATGGAAAGATGGGCAACAGGGGTCCTGTGCTGAGGTCTATGTTGTTAAATCCTCTTAAATGAGCTGTGATCTGAGGGAAACAGGAAGGTGATAAGGCTTGTTGATGGTAATTAATTATTCAGGGAAGTAAAGACAATGCCTGGCTGTGAAGAACTGCATAGACTGCCACTCCATGAGATGACTAAAGGAATGGCAAAGAACAGCAAATGAAATTCAAGACAAAAGTATCACTATACGCACACAGAAAAGCCAAAGTTCAAAGTTCCAACCCAACAAGTACCTTAATTACCCTCCATCTCAAAAAGGACGTAGAAGAACTGGAAGAGGCTTGATGAAGGGCAAAAAGGATGGATAGCACTGAGTGATTGCTATAGGAGGAAGGGCCAAATGAACTAAACCTCTTCAGGTCAAGAAAGAAATGCCAGGACTCGATGGCAAACGACATGGGGTTGATGGATGAGAAGACACAGTGAAGCATGTTTTGCTGGTCAAGAACTGGAAGCCAAGAGATGTAACCTAAAAGGGAGAAGGGAGGAAAACGGGAAGGAAGGAGCTCTTCATGTGAGGATGGAAAATGTGGAATTCTCTGTCAATTAAAAAAAAGAAAAAAAAAAAGAAAAAAAGAAACCACTATTAAAGACACCAGCCCTGATTCAGGAGGTTCCTGGGCTGCAGATCACTGGGGACTGGGAGCATATCAAATTATCATTACGCATTTGTCCCATATTTTTCTGTCACTTAAGACTTTCATTGTTGCCTAATGTCTTGGAAGATGCTCTGTGAGGTGGACTAGAATGGACCTTCTCATGTTCTTCCCTTCATGATTGGTTTGTTGAGACAGACACTTTCCACAATGTGAAGATTGAGGAATTCATCGACTGTCCATCACTGCATTCCATCCTTTGAAATTATATGATCAATTGGAAAAATCAGATCTTAATGAGGCTGAGAAAAGGCACCTGTGATGCTGAGAAGTACTATGAGAACAGTTCCCATGTCTACAGATCTAGATCAGCATTAGACAATTCAGAGAAGGACAACCCATGCTCCAAGAACATAAAATTTTGCCACAAATACTCCTAGTGGAAGTTTTTGCCAGCATTTTTCCTAGTTTGTTTGGCTTTCAGCGGGACAACGGAGCCAAGAGCAGCAGATCAGACACACGGCGCACAAACTAGGACGCTACTATTTAGGGCAGAGCAGCCCCTTAGAGCTTTATCCACATGGAGCCAGTGCAACAGCTCTGGAGGGGAGCAGCGAAGCATTAACTGGGGCTGAAAGATGGGAGCTGCTCCTGTACCATCAGCACAAACACTTTAACTCTTTACCAACAGCCTCCATCTACGTGGAACTTCCTAATGTCTGGACAGAACCACCGCAGTCCACAAAAGCAAATTATGAACTGACATCAAGTTCCTTTGTTTTAATTCAAGCTGGAAGAGGCTGGTTTAGGAAGCGGAGGTTTCCTCCAGCAATTCTAGAGGGGGCTGAGGAAGGTATCTGAGACACTGGCAAAGGACATCTGCAAAGATGTGAGGGGGGGGCAAAAAAAAAAAATTAATTACAACGCTGAGAGTTTTATGGGTCAATTTTTTCCAGGCTATATTGATTTAAACTAGAAATTAGCAAGCCAGGAAGATACATCATACCCTCCATAAACATTATTTATAGCAGGATTTCTTGTTTCCCTCCTCGTCTGTGCAAACAGTTTTCTGACAATGCCACCCCCTACTGAGGAGTGCTGCAACTGGCAATATTCTCCTGTAATGCTTCCTGTGCTGCCAAGGGACTCCTGAAAGTAAGGACTCAAACAGATCATTATTTTTTTAATTTTCATTTTATAGCCTCCCATACACTTGATGAAATACAGTCCTCAGCCCCCTCCACCCCCCCCCCCATATCACAGCACTACCCGCTCTCTCCGTGATGGATCCTGAGCAGACACAGGCCCAAGGACAGAGCAGAAACTGAGCTCAGGTCCATGGACCAGGTGGCTCCAGAGCCTGGACATTCCCACCTCACCCCACTGCAGAGGAGTTACACTCCCCCCCTCCACCCAGGCTCCACCATTCACAATGATTAATACTACTAAAGGATGCAATTTGCATTAATATGTATAAACGTCATGAAAATACTTGTTTTCAGGCCAGTTTATTCAGAAGGTGCTGTGCATCTGCTGCCTAAGCAGGTGAAATGTAGGTTACGGCAGAAAGCAAGGTGCTGTCCCCCTCCCTGAGCCAGGAGGAGGTGACAGGAGCTGCAGTTAAAGGGCACTTTGGGAAAGCCACATCTGGGAGGAGAAAGTGCTTATTTTATTTCCATCCTACCCAAACAAGCCTCATCCAGATCTATTGTTTATATCCAGCCTCCCCGGAGGCAGCCTTTAGCACGTATCTTATACAACCATGCTCATTTTGTATTTCTGACCTACATAAAATATAGGGGGCGGGGGGAGAAGGGGGGAGCCAGGGTTCTGAACGATGCATTTCAAACAACATTTCTCAGTAGAGAGACGTCAATAAATTAAAGGCCCTCATTTGATTACTCAGTGTGAAAGATTCTCAAATTAATCAGGCTGGTGACCATGTTTTCCAAACGCTGCCAAGTGAGGAATAAATAAAGCCTTTTAATTCCTACGTCGTACCAAAAACAAAGCGAGTGGAGGGGCCTGGCTGCTCATAGGTACAACGGGAGATGAACACGTTTGGTAGCCAATGACGATGGAAAAAGAATAAATCAGAGTGCTGTAATAATGCAGAAGTGTGAATAATTTCACTGTCACTATGTATTAGAGCAGCCGGGGGAGAACATCACGTGGGTTGAAACGGCGCATCGATTGGCTCTGGATGACATCATGGTATGTCAAGGCACGAGCTCAGGCTTCTTTTATGCCTGGAATAAAACCCATCTCACATTGAACATCCTTGAGCTCCCTCTGCCGGATCCGGGCCCGCCCGAGGAGCAGCCGAAACCCAGAGCAGACAGCTCTGCAGCCAGGAGCTCTCAGGCATCTCATTTCACACTCAAGGGTAATGATTTCCACCCCAGAAAGTCTTTTTCTTTATTCTGCTACATCTAAAAAAATAGCTATGACACAGGAAAGACATTTTGAGGATAGATCACACTCAAGGGTAATGATTTCCACCCCAGCAAGTCTTTTTCTTTATTCTGCTACATCTTAAAAAAATAGCTATGACACAAGAAAGAAATGTTGAGGATAGGGAGGAGGGGGTTACCTTTCTGCTGGAGAAATGAGCGTGCTTCCCCAGCTTGTTATTCAGAGCCTCCAGGAACATCTCGTCTGTAACTTTTCCCACATTCATGCAGGCGTCGTCCAGAATGGCAATGATCCCCTTGTGCTGCTGCTCTACCAGGTCAACAATGACCTGGTTGTTAAAGTAATCAATCTGTAAAGCACAAAAAACAGGTATATTTGTGAGTTTGGCTCGTGACACAGAGGAGTACTGGTGGTGGCCACCGCTGAACAGCACCGTGTGTCTGGCAGAGAGAACAGGGCCCGCCATTCGCACAAGAAGCAATCAATGTGTTCAGCACCAACCCAAAATTAAGCAGCCCCCTCTGCAGGGAACAGCAGAGAAGGTGGTCTCTCACACACCTCACGTTCATCTCGAGACCTCTGTGAAAAATCAGCTGCTACAGAATGCACTTTAAAATGCCTTTTACCATTCAACTGTGCACAGTCACCCCGGTGACAATTGTACATCTTGTCCTTGGCATTATGAAAGGAATCTGAACAGGAGAACTCAAGGTTTTTACATGTGACTACCTACAACTAGACAAAACACACAAGCACTCGGAACAGAAACACGCAGGGACACGTGTGGCATCACAGAGATGCCACGATATTTTTATCTCAGACCTGGAGTCACTTCTTTTCCCACACCCCAGCACAGAAAGTGATGTTGTGAGATAACTGGTGAGCTGCTTCTTCCCCAGCCTGACTCCCAGGCAGCCCATCTGACAGTACAGCTGGCAGGGACACAGATGTCCCATCGCCTTCGACGGGAGCGTAACATGTGGAGCAACTGTAGATCTGGGCCTTGTGCTGGTAACACTGACCTCGAACCCCCCTCGCCCACCTCTCCCACAGCACTCACATGCTTCCAGGGAATTCCCTCGCGCTGGTACTCCTCCTGCTCCTGCTTTAGAACCAGCTGAATAAAGAGCTGCTGTAGCTTTTCATTGCAGTAATTAATGCAGAATTGCTCAAAACTGCAAAAACAGAAGGATAAGGAGGTGATGAGCTTTGTCCCGGCGGGAAGGCGAAGGCACAGCGCTGGGCTTTACCGTGGCTCACCTGTTATTGTCAAAGATTTCAAAGCCATAGATATCCAGGACGCCAATGACTGTGTTTTTCCCATGGATTGTAGTGTCATAATTCTTCACTTCAATGACATCATTGATGTGTGACACAATCCAGCAGAAGAGGCGCTCATATATAGCCTGCCAGGAAAAAATATGCTCAGGAGTTTTGCCTGCATCTGCATCAGTTCAATACATGATGCTATGAAGCTTAATTTACAATATGTGATGCTACAAAGCTTAATTCAAGATTCTGCCCCAATCACACAGAAGCTACGGATAACATTCAGCTAAAAGTAAACAGCTAGCAACAAGCAGAATATATTCTATGAAAATATTTTTTTTCTTTCTTCCCAAACTCATTTACACAAAGTCTAAATCCTGGTGAGGTCACCAGGTCCAGTGATTCCCCTTATTTGCTTCCAGTCTGTTTTTCAGCTGCCTAATAACTACCATAGCTGAGAAGAATTTAACAATATTCAAAAGCAAGTTGAGAGTTCAGTTCTAGAAACCTACCAACCAAACACAGTGCCAGTAAAATATTCATGTTCACTTATCAAAACGAAAATGTAGGTATCTTCACAGTCTGCCTGTTCACAAGGTACTGTGAAGCTGTGCAAACATATCATTTTAAGAAAAAAAAATCAAGTTAATAATCAAGGATCTTCATAACTTCATCTGTTCTTCTCCTGTCATTTGATTTCTTAGCAAAGGACGGACAATTGTCATTCCTTCTGTCATCAGTATCCACCTTTCTAAAAAAAAGACAGCACTTCAGGGCTCCAACCTGAGTTCTAGATGCTACAGCTCCACTCTCTGCTCTTTGAATTTAACTGCTAAATGAAGTCAAGAATCATATTTCACAACACACCCAGGCCTGCCCAATGTATTCTGTACTCTGCAGACACCAGGAAACCAGGCTGGCAGCTCCCCCCCATCCTGTGAGCGCTGGGGGTGGTGGGGTGGGTTGTCCCCCAGCCCAGGACAGAACACAGTCAGAAATAAACCCACACAAAGTACAGGCCTCCTGTGTCTCAGCAAGCACCGTACCTATTGATTCTCCCAGGGATCCTACTGGGACCCAAGCACTGAAAAATGTGCAATTAAGAAGGCAATTCGATCTTGAATGCCCTCCTCGGGCACCACCATTCTTTGCTGCATTAAGTACAACTCAATCAAAAGGCAAAAGCAGAAGAAACGCGCCCGAGTTACTGCCACGTACAAAATTGGATGCAGAGAAAGGAAATTTAAACTCACTTTAGCAAAGGCATCTCTGCCGTAGGTGGCTTCCTGCTCGGTGTGTTGTTTGTCAATGACATCCCGGCCGGTAGCTACAGTTCGAAACAAAAGGGCCTTCTCCACCATCTCGGACTTGGTTGAGAGCAGGTCAGCGATGATCGACACCACCTTCCCGTTCTCTATGACAGGCGTGTCACCATCCACAGAGAACTTCAGGTTCCCCTGCAAAAACCAGCAAGAAAGTAGATTTCCCAATCTGTCTTTGATTAATATGAATCAGTACACCCCAAGTTCATCCACGTTCCACCTGCTGTTCAAGCCAGTAAATCTCTCAACTGGAAGGGTGGGACTTCCATATCCACCGACCCACCCAGCTCCAACAGCAGCAGAAGAAGCAAAGCATTGACTCAAAGAACAGCATTCCTGCTTGGTGTTCAGCTCAGCTTTCGGAATAAAAATTACATCAAACACTTCCAGGGGTTTAATCAAACACTGTCTCAAGATTCAGAGTCTAACGATGGGACCACCCAGCTCCAACAGCAGCAGAAGAAGCAAAGCATTGACTCAAAGAACAGCATTCCTGCTTGGTGTTCAGCTCAGCTTTCGGAATAAAAATTACATCAAACACTTCCAGGGGTTTAATCAAACACTGTCTCAAGATTCAGAGTCTAACAATGGGAAAATTCCAGCATCTTAACCCCTGCTGACTGGGGGGAGGTTGGACTAGATGGCCTTTGGAGGTCCCTTCTGGCCTGGGCAATTCTATGATTCTATGAAAATTCCAGCATCATAAGTTGTGGGTGCCCACAGGAAAGCTGGAGAGGGACTTTTTATAAGGGCATGTAGTGATAGGAAGAGGGATAATGGCTTCACACTGAAAGAGGGGAGAATTAAACAAGATCTGGGGAAGAACTTGTTTGGTGTGAGGGTGGTGAGAGCCTGGCCCAGGTTTCCCAGAGAAGCTGTGGTTGCCCCATCCCTGGAGGGGTTCAAGGGCAGGTTGGAGGGGGCTTGGAGCAACCTGGTGTGGTGGGAGGTGTCCCTGCCCAGGGCAGAACCACCACAGCTTCCTTACTGACACCCACAGTGCCAGGATGAAGCAGTGATACCTCTGTGCTGTTTGCAGGAGTGGCCTCACACCCTGCATGGCCTGACTCTGCCACCATCCCCCTCCTCAGCACTGGGAAACATCTGCTCCAAGGTGCAGAAAAAATGGAAAAAAAGTTACGTTTTCTTTACCACCTTCCTGCTGCCCACCTGCACTGCCTCTCCCCTCAAGGAAACAGATCTGAGGTACAAGGACACGGCACTGGGGAGGAAACTCTCTGGATTCGAGGAGAGTCTGGGTGCAGGAAGGACTTCCTTAGCACCAGAATCCAGAGAATTAAGAGGTCTCCTGTCCCTGGCTCTGCTCAAGTCTCCACCACGGAGTGAAGCACCATCTCTCCAGCCAAATCACAGTGGGGATGAAGTGAGGGTGAAGGGGACAGAAGGATAGTGAGGTGAGAGCTCCCTACCCCTCACCACCAAACCCAAACAATTCCTTCCATTCCTTTTCAGAACATTTAACAGCCCCCAGGGCTTTGTGATATGATTGGTTTGGGATCTGGAATATGCAAGAATAAATTTGATCTTCCATTGATATTGCAACTTCAGTGTCTTCTCCAACCAACAGATCTTCCAACTGCTTCTGCAGCAAGAAAATCAGAGCTGCTGGGAGTACAAATATAGTGTTTGACCCCCCTGAAGAACCCCCTGCTCACACCCGCGGGCAGGGAGCTTACCAAGTGAAGAATGGCAGCCACGATTTTGTAGACAGTCTGAATCTCCTCTTGCTTGAAGCCAATCACTTTCATGGCATCAGCTACTGCTTTGAACTCTGCACCGTCGTTGATGGAACACTGAGGGGAAAGAGATGTTTGGGACGTGAGGGGCTTAATGGAAGTCAACTGTGAGAAAGCAAAGATTTTGCAAACCTACAGGAAATAGATATGTACTTTGCTATTTTTCAGATGCAAGACACTGTCAGGAGATTTCTCAACTTATTCTAAAGCCATACCCTCTGCTCGTACATGGAACCCACACTGGACACACGTACACCAGCCGCAATGAGCTACAGAAATCCATCACAGCATAATTAAATAGTTCAGTACTTTCCCAGTGGAATTTATCGTGAAAGAGGAGAGCAGTGCAGTCACAGGCCCTCCAAGAAGCAGCATGACATTTCTGGCCACCATCTTTCTCAAGATGAGCCTCTGTCCCCTCCCATTCACCTGGGCTTGTGTTCACTGCAGATTTCTAGAGAAAAGGATAAAGGCCTCTGAGAAGGTCTGTTTTCTTTTCTCAAGAAAGCAACTAGGAAATCAGGGAGCCTTTCGTCTGGACCCTGGTTCTGAAGGACAACACTTGGGGGAAATCAGGGAGCCTTTCGTCTGGACCCTGCTTCCGAAGGACAACACAATTCCAGATGTATTTAAAGTGTTCAGGATCTTGTTGTCCTAAAAAACTTTATGGGTTTGTTCCCTTCCTTCCTGATCAGAGGCCCCCTTGAGGCTAAGTCAGACATGAAGAATGAATGCTTCAGTAATTTAGTGCTCCTACTGTAAAAAAAATGAATCCTTATGGCTTTTTGGTCCAGAAAGCAGCCTCAGTTACTCATGAGGAAGCATGAATGGGCTGTCACTGGTAACAGGTCAAATATCTATGCTTGCATCTATTAACAAAGGTGATGACTCTCCTACTACTTTTGACTGCAGGTCAAATATCTATGCTTGCATCTATTAAAAAGGTGATGTCTCTCCTACTACTTTTGACTGTTCATTATAAGCACAAGTACACAGACACTTGTCTTCTAGGGCCAGAAACTCCATTAAAAATAGCTCGTTAATGTCACCTTTCCATATTCATCCTGTAAATATTGGTCTCAGCTTCTGCCACCTCAGCCGTACTTGAAGTATTTCAAGAAGCATTTACAATTTTAAGACAATTTTTCCCTCTAAACTCCCTGACAACAGCCTCACCTTTATCTGTGCTCCAGGACAGATGTAGCTGTACGCAGACGCGTCCTTCTGAAGATGTAGAGAACGTAACATCTGGTCAGAACCCCCCTGGAGGAGCTGCACAAGGAGAATTTTAAGAAACGGTGAATGCAAAGAAAAAATCCCTCCCTTTTTCTGTTTCTTATTAATCTACTTGACGAAAAGAAAATCATAAAAACATTAAATTACTGCAGAATCAGCTGCGGAATCTGGAGTTAGAATCACAACATGTGAAGATAGAGGCTGTAGGTTCTGACTGAGGTTGGTGTAGTGACTGTCATAGAATCATAGAATCATAGAATGGTCTAGGTTGGAAGAGACCCTTGGGATCATCGAGTCCAACCATCTCCCCTACTCTACAAAGTCCTCCCCTACACCATGTCCCTCAGCACTGCATCTAAACGGCCCTTAAACACAGCCAGGGATGGGGACTCCACCCCCTCCCTGGGCAGCCTGTTCCAATGCCCGACCACTCTTTGGGTGAAAAATTCCTTCCTAATGTTCAATCTAAACCTCCCCTGTTGGAGCTTGAAGCCGTTCCCTCTCGTTCTGTCACTAATTACCTGTGAGAAGAGACCAGCACCAACCTCTCTACAGTGTCCTTTCACATAGTTGTAGAGAGTGATGAGGTCTCCCCTCAGCCTCCTCTTCCTCACACTAAACAGCCCCAACTCCCTCAGCCGCTCCTCATACGATTTGTTTTCCAGCCCCCTCACCAGCTCCGTTGCCTCCTCTGCACTCGCTCCAGCACCTCCAGATCTCTCATGGATTGAGGTGCCCAAAACTGGACACAACACTCGAGGTGTGGCCTCCCCAGTGCTGAGTACAGGGGCACAATCACCTCCCTACTCCTGCTGGTCACACTATTTTTGATACAAGCCAGGATGCCATTGGCTTTCTTGCCCCCCTGGGCACACGCCGGCTCATATTCCGCCCTTTGTAAACTAGCACCCCCAGGTCTCTTTCCTCCAGGCAGCTCCAGCCACACTTCCCCTCACTGTCCTTTGGGGTGACACAAGTGTTCAGAAAACCAGAGTGAGCCGTTCACAGACCAGACACGTTCACAGCTGTGACACACCACCAATGTGTCTGGGCAAGTGCATGTACCTTCCCTGCCACACCGAGACTTTCCAACCCGGAGCCGCCATGTTGAGGCGAGGTGCTACCCCGCCATCAGGGAGTACTGAGTGAGGGGGAAAAAATAAACAAACCTACGTTTCCCTCACTGCAAAACTGAGAATAAAGGTTATAATAATAGGCCGAGCGTTTCCCCCGAAGGAGCCACAAGGGAACCACTGTACAATATGGAAGACATTAAAAAGAACCCCCCCCAAAAGAAGAAAGTCAACTTGGTGTCATAAAATTACTTCCATATGGACTGAAGGCCTCAAGAGAAAATAGAGGGATTAGACTTATTACAAATAAAACAGTGAGTCAAAGTCCAATATTCTACCAGATTTGTTTAGTTAGCCTCCTTTTAAGTTTACAAATGTGTTAATATGGGGCTGAAGGACAGAAAAAAGTAAATCTTCCCATGCTCCTTCCCCAGACCAGGCCTCTTCAAAGGGCTACAGAACCTGAGATCACCCAAGATGCAACACCAGGGGAACCCTTTGCGAAACACACGGGAGGGTGAAAGCTTTAAATATTTTGCCTATCGTGTCTGGGAAACTTGAGAAATTTGTTTCAGCAAACGTATACAAACCTGGTAAAAAGAATGAAAGCTTCGTTCTCCTGGCTGTTGCACAATCACACGAGACTGGGGGGGGAAATAAAACACAAAGATGGGTATTTCTGGATGTGGATGATCTGATTCCCCAGCACCTCCCCTCAGACATGAATGCATGGGTTCAGCACAGCTAGGGCACCTCCACAGCCATCCTATCTTACAGCACATCTGTTATGAATGTTATTAGCGTGGCACGACCATGGAGTTTGAAGTCTATAATCAAAAAGCCCAGCTTGTGTAACAGCTGCAATGTCCTACTTCCCCCCAGGAATCCCATGTGGCTGCTACGGAATTGCTTTCAGGGAAGAGTCAAATAAAACATGATTTTAGTTTGTTATTTAATGGCTGGCGGTGAAACACAGGACTCTGTGACTACAAACAAGAGTTCCCTGGGCCACGGTAACCACTTGTGCAACCCCAGGCTGAGAGCAGCCCCTGCACGGGGATGGCTCTGATCTAACACAAGGGCCTTGTTTTAGGGAGCAAGAGACAGCTCCATCTGCAGAGCACCCATTGCAAACCAGGGGAAAACAGCCCCAAGATAATTAAATGTTAAATGGAGCAGAAATTCAGTCAACAAGCAACGTATCCTTATTTTACGCTACAAGTGTGAACTGCAGAGAGTGACAAAGCCCGTGCTCCTGCCACTGCACAAAGTCACTGTCTGCTCACCCCTGGGGTTGGGAGCAGAACCTCTACTGCTGCTAAAGGGGAAACAAATTTTACTTGGGAGAAATCAAGAATATGAAATAAAGGATCAGGATTTAAGTCCCCGCAGCTGCAGCCCCACCCATTTTTCTGCATGAAATTATCACACGTTAAATGTGTGGGTTTGTTGGTTCGTTTTTTTTTTTTTTTAAATGAAGTGTTTATTCTGAAAATAGACTTCAGGGAAATAATGGGAAAAGTAACAAACACAAACAAAAAAGCACGTTAGCAGATGTGGTCACACATGTCAATTAAAGCCAGACGTGTGTCTCACACATAACGAGAACTGTTAATAGACCGAGCCACTTTCACTACAGGGTTTTACATATTCCAGTGTTTTCAGCCACCACTTAATGACATGAAAAAACATAATAATTATGCTTAGGATGATTTGGAATACATAAAAACAAGCTACTAAAAGGTCACACCAGGCCATGGCACTATTCCAGAAGAACACTTCTCAAGCATAACATTGCTACTTACAGACCTAGATATCTTCTCCTTTTAGTCAGCAGTGAGATCTCAATGCAGGAACTTATAAAGAAGGAGTTTTACAGAGTTAAATTAATCTCAGCTTTTATTCTGGATACAGAGTTCTTACACCCATCTGCTCGCCAGCTTTCATGTAACACCAGTCCCTCACAGGGTGAGGTCTGAGAGCGGCGGTGGGAAGTCCCAGGGCACTGCCAGGGCTTCAGTGGCACTTCAGTTACAGTAATTCTTGGAGAAAAATACAGCCCTAGATTTAAATCAGATTCTGTGCCCTCGTACGTAACATAATGACATACCACACTTGAAAGGAAAATTTTCTACTGGCAAAAGTAGCTACACAAAAGCCTCTAACTCCAAAAGCGAGCGTGACTTACCTTTTCTAGTAGGTAATTATTGATATGCCCACCTATGGGGTCTCCTTTAAAATCAAAGTTGATATCCATATATTTTCCAAACCTGCTGGAATTGTCGTTGCGGTTTGTTTTGGCATTGCCAAAGGCCTCTAGCACACAGTTGGATTTCAGCAGTATGTTCTTCACTCTGTAGCGCAGAGACATGGAAAAGAGAACAGGGTAAGCCCAGACTTGCACGCTCAAACTAGGGAAATTTCTTTCTTGCAGACATTTCTAGAGAAGAATTTAGTAACAGCAGAGATTCTCTTGGATGACGTATTTGGCAGATGTGTATGACATTAGGAATCCTGTGAGAAATCAGCTGGGAGCTTTTGGTGCGAGCAAATGGGAACCAAAGACCAGATCCCACCACTGAAAACAGCACCAAAAATTCAGTTCCATAATGTACATAAGTTTTGAAATCAATTCCTTGGACTCTTTTGCAAATAATAAGTCTGATTCTGCAGAAAGTCACATTCTTTGTTCAAAATGTTACTCTAAGGCTGACAGGCACGTTTTGCCTGGAATATGCTCCTTGCACTCAACATGCTATTCAAACATACACATATTTAAGGCAATTTGCCACAGGAAACATGATTTTTAGGTACTGTTTTTATTTTGAAAGTTTGACCTTTCAAAATAAATTTTTCTACGTGATTTTAGCAATCAATATTGCAAAATTCCCAGAGTAAAAGCAGTATCTGAAGAAGTCACGCAAATGCTATAAAATCAGCATGGAATTAGTACAAGAGACCATCTCATAACATGGTTAACAAGGGTTTGACACTGAAAGAGGGGAGATGGAGCTGAGCTGTGGGGAAGAACTTGTTTGGTGTGAGGGTGGTGAGAGCCTGGCCCAGGTTGGGCAGAGAAGCTGTGGCTGCCCCATCCCTGGAGGGGTTCAAGGGCAGGTTGGAGGGGGCTTGGAGCAACCTGGTGTGGTGGGAGGTGTCCCTGCCCAGGGCAGGGGGGTTGGAATGAGATGATCTTTAAGGTCCCTTCCAACTCTAACCATTCTATGGTGCTACACAGTCCACAGAGAGATCCCTGAACAAAACCATTTCTTTTTCTGCCAAGCCCTTACCTTTCCACCTCTGCTCTCTGGCCAGGGTTGGTAATGGCTGCGATGTACTGCATAATGTATTTACTGGCCTCCGTCTTCCCAGCCCCACTCTCACCTGGGGGCATAAATACAAAGAGGACACAACAGATCAAAAAAAAAAAAAAAAGCAAAACAAGTCTCTGAACAGTCTATCTTAATTCCACCCCGACAGCGTTTGGGTTCTTTATTATTGTTTTTTCAAAGTGATCTTGTGTGCCCTTTGAATATTTCCTAAATATAGCCACAACCCTGCCTGGTTGGTGGTGCCGTGCTGACTTGGAAGCGGTTATGATGTAAGATTTCACAGGTCGGTAAAAGGCCTGGCACCCAGAGGATCAAAAGGAATATTGTCAGAGCAGAGATTCTGGCATGCGGCGGCTCAGCCAGCCCCAGCGCCGGGGGCCGCAGCACAAGAGGCTTCTGTTCTGAACAGCATCTCGGGTCTCTCGCTTTTCAGAGCTGCTAAAGCACGGGGACATCAAGGATACCAAGTGCCAGGAGCCAGACAGCGACCGTTCATGGTACAAGCACTGCTCCCACTGTCAGAGCCACCACGAGCAGTCAGTCCGGCCACCGGAACAGAGAACAGCAGTCATCCCAGGGACAAAAATCAGCAGTTCTCCTCTTCTCACTCATCTCCATTCAGGCAGCAGAGCAAGCACAGGATTCCTGTTCCAGTTATCACTCTGCAGGCACAGATTAAGCTAATGACTGACACCAGCGCTTGGATTAGATATGAAATAATTGCTAAGGTCTCCACACACAGCTTCAAATGCAAATAAGCAATTTTAACACTAATGAAGTTTTCTTTTCTAAAATGCTGTCATTAGCCAAATCATCCTTCTTTCTCTGCCCGGAATTTCACAAAGATGATTTCATCATAATGAAAAGCTCTTCCACTTTACCTGATATTACAATGCAGGTGTCCTTTGATCGCCTCTTCATGGCTTTGTAGGCGGCATCGGCGATGGCAAAGAGGTGAGGAGGCCTCTCGTACAACTCCCTCCCTTTGTACTGCTCGATCATGTCACGCCCGTAGATGTTCAAGTTCTTGTAAGGATTCATGGAAACCACCACCTCCCCGATAAACGTGTAAATCCGTCCTTTTTCAAACCTACACAGGACGAGACAAAAGGGAGAAATTAGGGCATTAGGCAAACAGCACGATTCAGAACGTGTCTTCCAAGCAAGCTGCTCATTTTAGCAGGTGAACCCTTCAATCCATGGTCGTACTGAAACATTATAATAAAACACTGATTACAGACACTTTCTGACCAGTGTGGCCAGGATGGCACTAGTTACTGTATTACACACAGACCTGATGTTGCACGGACATAGAACTAGGGTTAGTGTTGAATCTTACCACCCAGAAAGGACATTTCTAGTGCAATTTCCCTACAGAATCATGGAATTGCCAGAGTTGGAAGGGACCTTCTAGAGACCCTCCAGTCCAACTCCCCTGCCAAAGCAGGGCTGCCCAGAGCACATCACTCAGGAGCATCCAGGAGGGGCTTGAAGATCTCCAGAGAAGGGGACTCCACACCCCCCCTGGGCAGCCTCTGCCAGGGCTCTGCCACCCTCACCCCAAAGAAGTTCTTCCTCACATTGGAGTGGAACTTCCCCTGGTCCAGCTTGTGCCCGGTGCCCCTCGTCCTGGCCCTGGGAACCCCTGAGAAGAGTCCGGCTCCATCCTCCTCCAACCCACCCTTGAGATCCTTGCAAGCATGAAGAAGGTCTCCCCTCAGCCTTCTCTTCTCCAGGCTGAAGAGCCCCAGCTCTCTCAGCCTTTCCTCATCAGGGAGATGCTCCAGTCCCTCAATTGGAGCATCCCTCAATCCCGTCAATCCCCCTACAGATGTAAAACCAATCAAATAACTGAGGTACAAACAGTGACCATATTTCTGACTATAACAAACTTTTGCTTTGCCAACACAATGGACCCGGGTTTCTGCATATTCAGGTATTTCTGTTGCCATTAACACACTGCCAGAAACAAACGTTCCTAACAAACTCTTTAGCAAGATTTAAGTTAACATAATTTACTGTTTCTACAGCTGACAATAAGATGAGTTTGTGACAAGTTCCTATAATCTGCTTCATAAAGGGGATTTAAAGGCAAATTCTTTTCTCACATCCTACAGCTGTCCATAGCCCGGCTCAGGCCAGAGAAGAAGTTTTGAAGCCACTCACTCCAGGGTCTGATCACATTAGCAAGAAAGTAAACAAAGATACAAGCCAGGAAGGAAATTACAGCCTTTCAGCTCCTGCAATTACCTTCCACTCCATCCTTTTCACTAGAAGGCACCTTGCCACCAGCACTGCTGCTGAGAGTGAAAGCTTTTGAAGAACGCAAGAAAACAACCCCAAACAACACCTTTCCTCAACCCTACCCAGGCTTAGTAGTCCTGCAAACAAGAAAGAAAATAACTTCACGTTTGTTTAAAAAAAAATAAAAATAAAAAGGAGTGTTTAAGTTAAAAGATGTTTTTGAAGAAATTCACATTTTCTCAGAAGTCATGGAGCAGAAGAGCACAGAAGGGATTTCAGATGAAAGCTGAAGAGCTCACACAGCGTTTGGTTCTCAGGAGAAAGAATGCAGCAGATTCCCAGATCAACACTCAAACCACGGCGTTTCTCCCCTCCAGCACCTGTATTTAAACCCTACAACATTAGATGGCACCACAACACCTCGGACAGCGCAGGGCCCGTCCCAATCCCTGATGGACCCCGGCACAAATTCACTTTCTGGAATTTATTACCACCCCCACGTGGTGACAGGCTTGACATTTTCTATTGTTCATTTGAGAATTTTCTGCAGCATCTTGGCAGCCTTAGTTTTTAGCAGGTGTAATAAAACTCAAGAAATACAATCTGGCCACCAGCATTCCGCTTCCCAAAAGTGATTTTTTTTTGCCTCTTAATTGCGGCTTCCTCCCAGAAACACTTCACAAAAAAGACACAGGAATTGCAAACCATCCTTTTGTCCCTGCACTCAGTTCTAACCGCGGGTAGTCCTGATGTGCATTTCCCAAAACATTAGTGAGCTTAAAACGCAGAGATATTTTATACTTTAGAGATGCATGCTGTTTGAAAGCTACCAAAAACATTTTAGGAAAGGCTGTTAGAATTAGCAATAGCAACCACAGCTCACTATTACAACAAAAATGATGGGTAACCCATAGGCAACAACACGAAGAGCCTGCTATGGAATACAGAATCACAGCCTAATTCTTAAAAAACCAAGTTTATTCATTGGGAAACCAGACGACGGACTCAGGAACACAAGGAAGCCTCACACACACTTGTCGTTTGCTGGCCCTAATTGCAATTCTCTGAAGAACAAAGCTGTTGGGAAGGTACCAAAGAGGCAGCAGAAGACACACGTGGGTGCAAAGGGATGGGGTGCTGCTCACCTCCTGCCCTCCCGGGAGCGGGGGGGACTCTACATATACATGGGAGAGCTGAACAAAACCCAAACACACACACCACTGTTTCTATTAAGGAGATCAAATCACACTGGGACATCCATATGTAATGGAAACCATCACAAGGAGACAAATCAGCAGAATCCTTCCCACCTTTTTGGAGCTGGGCCACCTGAAAAGGCACGTTGCCCAGTGGAGAATGTATAGACTGCTCTCCCAAAGTCACTGCACAGCACACAACCACCACTGATGGCACCAGTAATGATAAAAATAAAGATACAGCAGGTTCCAGAGGAGGTTTGAAGCCCCACAGTACTGCCAGACACACGGCCGCAGGGTTCACGGTCAGCACAGACAGGGTACAGGGGTTTCTTTTAGCTGCAGAGAAGGAAAAAAAAGAAGAAGAGGACATCCCTACTGAAGTGTCGTGCCAAGTCACCATCACAGCACCCAATACTCTGACCTCTTCCTTAAGTAATTAATTATGTAAACTTTCAGCAGCAGAGCCCAGTTTAAGTTTCCTGCCTTGACAGTTCTGTGTCCCCAACTGCCTCGGGGGCAGGACCATCAGATTTGCCTGTGGGGCTGCCCCAGCGCCGGGAACCCTCACCTGGGGCACAGCTCGGCTCCGTGGGTCTTACATACAGCAGCTGGACTGGGGCACAGCTCGGCTCCGTGGGTCTTACGTACGGCAGCTGGACACCAGAGGGCTACAAAGATGATGAGGGGCCTGGAGCATCTCCCTTACGAGGAGAGGCTGAGGGACTTGGGGCTTCATAGTCTGGAGAAGAGAAGGCTGAGGGGGGATCTGATCAACACCTACAAATACTTAAAGGGTGGGTGTCAGGAGGATGGGGCCAGGCTTTTTTCAGTGGTGCCCAGGGACAGGATAAGAGGAAACGGGCACAAACTTGAGTATAAGAAGTTCCACCTTCAACACAAGGAGGAACTTCTTTCCTGTGAGGGTGGCAGAGCCCTGGCAGAGGTGGAGTCTCCTTCTCTGGACATTCAAACCCACCTGGACACGTTCCTGTGGGACCTGCTCTGGGTGACCCTGCTCTGGCAGGGGGTTGGACTGGATGGTCTCCAGAGGTCCCTTCCCACCCCATGGGATTCTGTGATTCTGTGACATTGCCCACTTGCCTCCCCAACAGCTCTGGGCTTAGGCCACAGATCTCACATTTGGCCTCCAAGTCAAGTCTTAAAAGGTTTTACTAGTTTTACTAAACTCTAACGAGTTGTGTCTTCTCTGTGCCAAACTGCAGACGGAGATGAGGGAGAAGGGTCCATCTCCGGACTCGATAAACGGGCATCTCTCGTTTGGCTTTTACTAGTTTTACTAAACTCTAACGAGTTGTCTCTTCAATCTCTGTGCCCTGCAAACGGAGATGAGAGAGAATGGTCCATCTCCGGACTCAATAAACAGGCATCTCTCAAGCTTGGCTCATGGGATTCTGTGATTCTGTGACATTGCCCACTTGCCTCCCCAACAGCTCTGGGCTTAGGCCACAGATCTCACATTTGGCCTCCAAGTCAAGTCTTAAAAGGTTTTACTAGTTTTACTAAACTCTAACGAGTTGTGTCTTCTCTGTGCCAAACTGCAGACGGAGATGAGGGAGAAGGGTCCATCTCCGGACTCGATAAACGGGCATCTCTCGTTTGGCTTTAAGGATACGGAGCTCACAAAAAGCTGACATCCCCGTTTACCTCTCTGTACATTCTTTTTTTCAACTTCTTAGCGCCACAGTTCAAATTCCAGACCTGTGCTTAGATGTTCCTCAAAGGAGCTGCTGCCCCTGGCCCCCTCCGCGCTGATAAAGCCCCTTTTCAGCCGGCCGTGCCGCTCAGACAGCGCCGGCCAAGAACAGCAGGGGCTGTTTTCCTCCCCGCACCGCTTCCCTCCGACATCCTCCTCTGCCTCGCCCAAGGAGAGCTCACGAAAACTTAGGAAAAGAGCCAGCGAGGGCAGCACAAACCGGGAGGTTCAAGAGGCAGTCAATCCACTATGTGTCTGCGAGGCTCGGTGATGAAGAGAGAGGATGAAGTTGCGCCTTTCGAAAGGCTCCTCAATCAGGGCACACACTCATCAAGGGAAAACACATCAACATAAAGGTCGGTGTCATCATTTCAGTGCCAGCATAAAACACCCGGGAGGGGATTCTTGTTATTAAAAGCAATCCACAGCCCACTTGATAAAAGGAACCCCTGTCCCCACTCCCGGGGGTCGGCACCTGATGGTCCAACCTCGTTGTGTCATGAAAATCCCATCATCTTTTTGCTGGTTCTGAGGAGAAAAGATTTCCCCCTAATAAAGCTATTTGAATAATTTCTCTAACCCCGTCTCCTGAATTTTCCACTTATTACTTTGGCATCTGAAACGGAGCTCAGCAGCCAAAAAGAAAGTCACAGTATTTAAATCCTGGTGTGTTATTTTGATGAAGAACATCAGCTCCTTCATGAGAAGTTTTTATACTAGTTTTTATTACCTTGTTAAAACATGGATTGATAGTGAGAAAATATAAACCAGAAGGTCACAGAATATAAATCACTTCCAGCAACAGAAATGATTGTCTACAAAAGGGGGCTGCCAAGGCTTTGTTTTGCAGTTTTTTTGTTTTTAGGGACTTGAAAAAAATAATACATCCTTAAGTGCAGACATCCTACGTTCACACCCAATTGCCATTGGAAA